AAATTTTGATGTGTGCTATATAGGTGCACGACTTCTATTTTAATTCTGCAGTATGGGATTGAAGTTCTGGTATATCAAAATGTTGTCTGAATTACCAGCATATTCAATATTTATTTTCTAATCACTGAATCATAATTACAGATCAGTGTGTACCACTCATATGCTTAAAATAAACATAAAATGAATGTGATTCGTGAAACCCTTAGCAACCACAAGACTTCCTCTGCATGTGCTCAGACACAGCAGAGACTTAGAAGTAATTTTATAAAACACATTTGCGTGACTGAAAATGTGATATATCTTTCTTGTATTTCTCAGTATCAGAATTTATTGAGGGACAGCACCTCTAATTAGAAGAAATATTAGGTAACTGCATTTGAAACTGCTTCTTTTATGATTTCAAAGAACTGAAATGCACATCAAGGTCTGAGTCAAGAGCTGTCAGTTCTAATCCTTGATCTCCATTGATATGCCGGCCTTACCTTGACTGGCAAAATGTCCCTGTATCAGCATGTTTTTCCCTGCCATAATATAAAAAACTTGAAGTAAAAGTTAGCCATTTTGAAGCCATGTTAGATGGCCACTTTGTAACTGCAAGTAGGAGCAGGGGAACAGGAGTGGCTACCCAAAGAGATCACTCCTGAATCTTTATTACCATATTATGGGTATTTCTTCAGTATCTCTCATCTGTTTATATTATCAAGTCTAGTCTTTTATAGCTGTGTATTACAAATATTACAACTGTATCTGGGATTTTCCTTTTTCATGGTCAGTATTTTTCTTTCATCTTGCAGAAAACACACAAAAAAGAATTATATCCTTTGTCATAATAAAAGATTTCTAGTAATCTGTATAATTTTTTACTTGAAAAAGTGAGCGTGAACTTTGTGCGTAGTTGATTTTTATTATTACAATCTGGTTTTTATTTCTTATCTACATTATTTTAAAGTATATATTGGAGGGAATGGTGTACTTAGATAAAGATTTATTTTATAAATGCATGTTCTTAATAGAAAAGTGTAAAATTCAGATGATACCTATTTACATAAAAATAATTGGAATTTGGGCAATTTATGTAGGGAATTTTAGAATTCAAGTGAAATAATGATATATTTATTTGTTGTGACTTTTCCAAGATGAAGTTTTACTATTCCCAACTTGGATTTCTCTTAATTAAAGTATTTTCCTGAATCTCAAATGAGTAGGTGTGTGAAACAACTTGGATTTTGGGATTGGGCTGTTTTAAATAGATGATCTGAACTTGCCATTGTTAGTGATTTGGAATTGTTGGATATTGACCCTTTTTCAGAGTGCACTTTGAGTGAGGATGTAACTTCTGCCTTTGAAAGCTGAGGAACTACTGGGTGAGCAATGCTTCTACAGGTTGTGAAAATTATTCAACTGATTATTACAGGAATCTCTACAGGTTGCAAAACTAGTTCCCAGTTTCAATTCTAAATAGTTTTAGAGGAAAATTTCCCACTTCCTCAATTTTTTTTAAAAGCTAGTGGTGTTTAAACTGTAACTAACCATATTGTCAGAATCTGGTTGCTCTCCTCCTCTTTACTTTTAATCTCACATTATATATCAACCCATTCTTAGTTTGTAATGTTCTTGTAGAGGGTCAAATCACTTATATAATAAAGGTTACAGTTATCCACTTGATGTTCTTATTCAATATTAAAACATGAAACAGTTGTTTACAGAATTTTTTTTTTTTTTTCTGTCCTTAACCTTTTTAACACGTTAGTATTAGCTCATAATCTTTTAGAGGAATTAATACATTCGGCACACAGCTAGGCTTTTCTTAACTAGTTCATGGGAATATAATGATTTATTGAAGTTGACTTAACCAACACAGATAATTTTAAAACTAGAATTTTTATTATTGAATATTAATGAGTAGTATTTCTCTGTAATTAGCATATGTTTATTATTTCCAAAAAATTACCCTTGTGTTCTTGCCCATCTTCAACAGAGATTTACATGAATTTAAAAATATCATAGGAAGCAGGATTAGTTGACAGTTTATTTTTTACAGTTTATTTCACTTCTTTAATAGTATCTGTGGCAAAAGCTAGCTTCTTTTGTACAAAGTTTCCAAAATAGTTTTAAGTGAAGTCCAGGTGTGTAAGTTAGAAAGCTGTTTCTTTGCAGTGCTTGATGGTTGGGAGATTCAGATGGCAGATAAATGCAGTCTTTGGGAAAGCAGACAGAGTGCTTTTCTCAGGTTCTGAAGTTAACTTCAGGCTGAATTTTCCTCTTCTGGTTCTTGAAGACTGTTAAGCTCAACCTTTGCCTCTCATTTATTCGCAACAATCACTGGTAATTGATTTTTCCTTGGGAAGGAGAAGGCAGTCTTTAAAATCTGAAATTGAAATTGCCCAACTCGTCTGCCCCTCTACCTTGCGGTCTCCCTTCTTAAGTAATCCTACCCCTGGCTCTTTTCTTTGTTACCTTTTTAATCTGTGTTTAGGACAATTATTCAGTATTTCTAAACATATTTTCTTCATCAGAAAACATTTTCTTATGATGATATTGCATAAAGTCTCTTAATCACTGATCCCTTGCCTTCTTTTTTTCCCTGTAGTTACTGAAACTGTCATATAATTCTGAAATAACCTAAAATCTATCCTCAGCTAATTTGGTACAACCCCTGAAAGTTACGGTAGATTTATCAAAACTTTAATTCAAGTATAGGAGAATTTTAATGGGGAAGGAGGAAACAATTGTGTTGTGGTATTGATATTGTTAATCAAGAATATACTACTTCAGCTCCTAGTAAAATCTGTGTTTTCTCCTGGTTTGCTTGTATTGCTAGGTAGGCCTCAAAGCTTATTGCCTACAGTTGGACATAGGCATCAGCTGCGCAGGGAGGTGACAACTGGGGAAACACTAGTCCTGGTAACCTCACAGACCGCACTGTTAAAGATAGGTAGAAGCAGAACACATTTGAATTGCCAATAGAAGTGTTTAATACCACAGCACTGTTCATGGTGTTTACCCAATATGACAGAAGATGGTTCTCCACCCACTCCCTTTATTAATTGCAGATGTCTCTTTCTACCTTATAAACTGGGGATGCTAGTTTAAAAATGCAGCTTTCAGTTGTCTTGAGAGAAATAATCTGTTTCTTTTTCTCTGTAAATTTCTTTCTTTCATGTTGTGTCATATTAACTCTGCATAAATTTTCTTTGCACCTTAAAACAATTCAAACAGTTAATTTTTCTATTTCACAAAAGAGCCCCTCCAGTTTTTTCTTGTTGCTATCTGTTATTTCTTAGTAGCACAGTTCACAGGCAGGATAATACAGTTAGTTCCAATTTTAAGTAGAATTTCAGGTTTTCTAATGGTATTTCTCATGTTTGTTTTCTATTTATCACACTTAACTAAAAGAAAACAAATATAAACAAAAATCCTGCCCAATACAGCTGAAGTAATAATTATTTTTTGCTACTTTTCCTTGTCCTTTCTGCAGTTTGCTTTTTGAATGGTGGGCCATGAGTATTTTAACACTTGTTAGTTTGTCTTATAAATGGACATATTTATTCTTTACTAAAATGTTAATTTCATTACTGAAATATCAGCTCTTAAATTCTGTGGCTATTTTACTTTAATGCATAATATGTTGAGTATATACATACCATTCACATACTGTTATAACCCACTGAATTTTACTGCGTTGGGGTAGACCTCATGATTATCACATAACAAGTGCCTGATCAGCAACAGTATGGAGGGATTTTATTGCTGTGTCCAGCTTCCTATTGGGAAGTTGTACTGAACATAAAGCCAGATTTTTCTTGGAAGTTCACAGCAAAGACCAGGGGCCACTGAGCACAAGTTGCCACAAGGGACATTTCAGCTAGGCATTGGGGAAAAATAATCCACCATGAGGCTAGTTAAACATTGAAAATGATTGCCCAGAGAGTTTGTGAAATCTCCACGCGTTCAAAACTTGTGTGGAAATGCCTCTGAGAAATTTGATCTAATTTTGAATTTATTCCTAACTTTGAGGTTGTTCCCGATTTGAGCAAGAGCTTGGATCAAGTGCAGGTACCTTCTCGCTAAAATTATCCTGTTGTTCTGAGATAGATCTGCACAGTTACAGGCACTCTTGAGGACATCTCCACAAAGCATGGATACATGAGATGACAGGGTCACTGATCATCACTGAATTATACGGATTTTGTCCTTTTATGATTCTGTAACATCTTCAGAATCACTTTTGCTTTTCCTGAACAGCTTTTCCAAATTGCCCAGTCTGTTATTGTATTCTGTATTCCTCCTAGAATATGAATTATAACTACAGGGCAAGTTACATTTGTTGACTGCCACCTATGCAGTGAGATACTGCAAGATCATTGTGACTTAAAGGCTCCCCCAGGCACTCCTTTCCTTCTGCAAGTGTGAAAATGATTCCACGTATCTGTCATCTCATCTATGCCATGAGAAAATGTAGAAGCACTGGAAATCATAGGATTTGAAGCCATTTTCAGCTATTATTGTTCTATCATAACCTGCACCCCTGCTGTAAGGCGTTGCAGTTTTAAATTAATTTATGCTTTCACTTTGGAAAGTGTGATTCAGAGACATGCTCAATCAAACACAGGAGGAACAGTGCAAGTGGTAGAACTGCCCTACGGCTATTGGCAAGTAGTGGCAATGGTGCTACCAGTCTCACCTGGGTACTTTGGCATTGTTGCTCAAGATGTGTGTTTGTGTGGATTACTGAGGAGCAGACATCCCAGAGGAGTTAAAATGAGTGTGTTGGGTACTGCAAGGTGAGTGTCTATTTGTGAATTAGCTTCTTCAGTCTGTAGGTGCCTCTGAAGTCGAAGGAGTCATGTACTGGAACTGCCTCTCCATGTGTAAGGTTATTTCTGTGTAGGAGATGCACTCCCTCAGTATTTCATCCACACACTTCACTTCTCTGAGGAAATTTTTAACACTAACTTTTCCATTCCATTGATATGCAATGCACTGTGTAAAAGACCAAGTAAATGTGGTTGCTAAGAGCCTTGTTTGTGTTATAGTCTATGCTAGTTTGAATTGAATCAAGACTTCGGAGAACTGAGGAGGCTGGTTTTAAAACTCCATTTGCTAAAATTATCCTTGCAGGCTTGGAAATAATTATACTTAGGTCCAAATAAATATAAAGAAAAAACATCAAAATGGTTTTATGATGGAACAGTAATTTCCAAGTTTGTAAGGGATTTGTTTTGAGTAGCACTGCATTTTTTTCTATTCATACTGAAAGAAGGTAGATTTAGATTAGATATTAGAAAGAAATTCTTTCCTGTGAGGGTGGTGAGGCACCGGAAAAGGTTGCCCAAGGAAGCTGTGGATGCCCCCTCCCTGGAAGTGTTTAAGGCCAGGTTGGATGAGGCTTTGAGCAACCTGGTCTAGTGGAAGGTGTCCCTGCCCATGGCAGGGGGCTTAGAATTCGATGATCTTTAAGGTCCCTTCCAACCCAAACCATTGTATGATTCTATGATTTTAATTAGGCCAAATCAAATAATGTATATGCCCAATAAAAATAATATGTAGTATATATAAATTATTATTATGTAACATATTATATATAAATTTATATATGCCCTGTCACACCATAAATACTATTTTTTTCTGAAAGTAAAGTGAACTTAGTGTTTACTCAGTTTCAATCCACTTTTTAACTAAATGCTTGTTTCACACAAGTTTTTCACTTTTCGTACACATAAAAAAGGTTATTTTATGAAGATTATGTTAAAATAATGATGTTTCTTTAGTTACAGAAATCTTTATCTCACATGATACAAGATTGTAGACTGTTTCAATGCAGGGATATAGCACAGAAAGCAAGAAAATATTCATACTTCTTTAAGCACCCATTTAGTCACAGCTCTACACAGTTACAAATAAGATTTTCATTTCACTCCAGTACTATAGCTACTCTGTATGGTTAAGTTGAGCAGTGTCAGAAGTGTTCTCTTCAGAGAATTTAGGAAAAATCTTTTCAAGTGCATAATCTGTATAAGTGCATTGCTACAGAGGCATGAGTTGATGCATTACAGAATCCCCTTTGGGCGTATCCATGTTTGTAATGTAAAAGAATGTTCTCCAAACTAAAAGTAAAAGCACACTTGGGAAAATATTTGGATTTTTCTAATGCCATAGACACCACCTTTTGTCTGGTATAGGGATGAATTGTCTGTCAACACAGAAGCAATGGAGCTACACTTTATCTCATGCTAATAAGTACAAATTCTGCAGCAAAAACATACTGGAGGCTTAAATAAAAATTAAAGACATTTAAATGAAGCAAAATCAGTGTATAGTGGATATTAGAAAATTATAATCAACTTTCTAAGCACAGAGAAATTATAGTGAGACAACTTGCAAAATTTTATTTATTATTTAAACAAATTTAGAGACTGAGACATAATAGTAATGCTAGAAATTAATATAAAATAGCTCTGATGGTAGTTACTGAGTCCTCTCTGACTTACTGAAATGTATATGTCTTCTCTTAAGAGATCTTACAAATTAGCAAGCTGTAAAAACATACACTTGTTGTTTTGTGACATATTGTATGTGTTTTAAACTGGATTTAAAAAAAAAAAATACAAGAAATATAGTGATGGTCTCTTTTCTCTACATTGGCTATTGCATTCTTTCCAGTATTTCAAACAGAAAATGCAGTGACTAAAATTTGATATAAGCAATGCACTGATTTTTTTAATTCTTTTTTTTCCCCCCACAGATTAAGATGCTTGGTAAAGCAGCTGGAGAAGGGTGACATTAATGTGGTGGATTTAAAAAAGAATATTGAATATGCAGCGTCTGTGCTGGAAGCAGTTTATATTGATGAAACAAGGTAAGTTTGAGAGAAGAAAAAAAGGAAAGGATATTAGGAATCACATTTTAGGAATTTGGTCTTTGTGTGCAATTGTAACTGATGTGGACTGAAGGTCTCTGCACATCAGAAGCAGCTCTTAGGTCTTTTAGTGACAAGGTTAAAGCAAGTAAGATTCCAAAGGTCAGATGTAACCGTCTGGAGAGTTTGTATAGTTCTCGTCTCCCTCACTTGTCAAATGTCCACAGCATAAAGTCATAAGAATTTTGTGAGGGATGGAGTTTCTTTCCCCCACGGGCCACATACTGCTTGCTAATCATGATGAGGACTGTATCACTGAAAAAAATTAGCTGTTTTGGAATTAAGTGCTCACGGAAATGAGTCAGAATATTTTAATCTGGCCTGTAAATACATAAATTCATGAAAAACTGTGATTTATTTTATAATGTTTGATGCTTTGTTTATGGTTATTGTTGCTGGCAGTATTACTGGCAATCATCTTTTTATATGGGTTGACTTCAATTAAATTCAAGTTCTAAGTATTTGGCTTCTTGAAAGAATTTTAAGATATGTACTATACTGAAATTAAATAGCTAACTTCATTTTTTGTTTCAATGTACTGGCCTCTTCAAGTTTTTTTCTAAGCAGAATGATCTTGTAATGATATTTGCCCAAACTTCTTCCATACTGCTGGAGCATGCAGCATATGTCTAGTATGGATTCCATACTATGTTTAAGAAGTCTGCCATCATACTGATTACTTCATGGACCTAACCCTCTCTCTCTGTCTCCCCCCTTCCCATCCTTGCAAATCTGCGTATTTGATATGTGCTTAAAATACTGCTCTGATTTTTTCTGTTTCATTTCCTTTGGTGTGTGTGATTCACACACCAAACCTTATCAGTTGGGAATTTAGAGCATCTAGTATTGGGCAGTAGAAAGCCTACCTATTTGGAGCAGAAGAATGGAAACAATAGCAAATGAAACTGCTACCAATGGTCCATTTTTCAGAGATTATATTACAGACTTGATTGTCAGGATCACCTATACTGATGTCCTGCTCTTAGAGCATGTGCACATCCAATTCTGTAAAAAGATGACCTTAGTAACCTCTCAGCCACAATACAGTTCTTATGGACACTTTCAGAAATGTTGCTAGTGATCTGAAGTTAAATACACCACTCAAAAAGCATTAGGGATCTTAGTGCCTTCAAGAGTGCTTACATGTTATGAAGATCTTTACAGATTCAGTTAAATTAAGCTTAATTGAGCAGACTTGGGCAAACCATCTTGTGTGACTTCCAAGGGACCTGGGCTTTGTGGGAAAACTGAATGAATTTAAATTAAGTATTTTCAAATACTGGTAGTTAATATGCCACTGTGGATATATTTGTGTCAGTTTTGCTGACTGACTTAGGTTAATCAAACTTCTTTTACATTGAATCAAGGGTTGATTTGGGGATTTACATTAGTTTAGTCATATTTGTAGTTAAATTGATACGGCTTCTTAGGGAGACAGATAAAAGGAATTATCAGCAAACTTCTCTTTGGGTTCATATTACAACAATAGAGGCCATAGAATTCCATTTTCCAGCAATAGTTCTAAATGTAAATCTTGTGAGCATATCTCACATGCTCAGGAAGCTTTGGAAGATCACAATCCTCTCTCCCCTGTATTATGGGATACCGCGTCAGAGTTTAAGCATATCTTTTACAGTAATAAGCACGGGAGCTGTGTTAAAGCTGCATAGGGGACAAGGACATGAACCACTTCCATACACCTCCCAATCACTGTGATTAAATGGGTATAGTCATAGTTCTTTCTGAGCAGTAGCACAAGGAAAATGAAAATAATGTGAAGTTTACTTAGTTTCCACTCAGGGGGGCCTCTGTGAAAATCAATACTATCGTTACAATGAGGAATCTGGTCTTTTTGGCTCTGTGTGGGAGCATCAAGTAACAAACAATTCATACAGGGAGAGAACTGGTGGACCTGAAGATACATAGGCTTTGGCAGCAACAGATGCATTATTTTTGCTATAAACAAATCTCTAAATAAGCTAATTTCCCTCATAGGACTTGACATGAGGATTACTAACCTGCTCAAGTGAAAAGAAACATGTATAATTTTATAATAGTTTGGAAGATTTTCATAGTTCTCAGGCTATTTTCTTAATCCTAGGGACATTATGACCTAATAATGCTGACTATTTATTTTCAAAAATTCTAATTTAGTATATGGAAGGATAAAGCTTTTGCTCTTCCCTAGCTCTATGCACAACGTTTAATGTTATTTGTTTACTACATCTAATATTTTGCAGAATAATCTGATTTTTCACTCTACTAGTGATTTACTCTAATTTATTGAATATTTCTCCAAAGCAACCTCATAGTTTGTAAACCTACCAAAGTAGCATTCCTTTTATAAATATACAGTAAGCATATGGTTTATATATATCTTTCCATACCTATAGCTATATTTCTGAAACATACATATGCAGACACATATAAAACAAATTTTCTTGCCCATGTTACTTATGCTGTAAGTAGTAGTTAGAAATGAAATTATTTTAATGAAACCTACTTTTCAACTTTTATTATCTTATTTTTAGTGGTTTGTGTGTTATACCCCATATTCTTCATTTTGATTTATAGTATTTGATTTTGGTTTTAATTTCTCTTCTTTGGACTAATGCAGTCTCCATGGAATTCAGACTCAGAGTGATACATTTTTTGAACTTGGTGGTTTTTGTGTTAAGCCTCCACTTCTTAGTTGGAAAATATTACGTATGCTACTGTTTTAAATTTTGACACTTCTCCATTAAAAACTATTTGTAAATTAAGATATTTATTGTGTGGCAGAGACAAACTATAGTCTCCACCAGTAGTTTCATGGTAAACTCTTTTGCCTGCCAAACTGCAAGGATAATCACATTTTAAATAGCATGACCATGATTCTGTAGTCTAAATCTGCAATAAAACATTTAAATATAAGCACACAAAGAAGATGTCTCCAGCTTCTGGGAAGCCAGTCCTTAAGGAATAGAAGCAGTGTATGGTTGAGTCAAAAGGCAGTGGAGGCTGGGATTAGCTTGTGTGGTTACATTTGTCCTCTTTCCCACCAAAGAATATAGGTTCTTTGTCCTTTACGGAGCTACTGCTGTTGGGAGTCTGGAACTGAATTAACTGAACTCATTAGTAGATTAGAAATAATAGTTTAGATCATAAGCAGAATGGCCCATTCCCACTGAGCCTGAACATGCACTTTTATACATCGCAATATTCAAATGACTTCAATAAGTTTCTTACATATGAATTGCTGTATGGATAAAAGTAATTGCTGTAGTATAGAGAAATAACAATTAATACATTGAGTAAAGCAGCAAAAAACCCATCTGAGTACAGATTACTTTCATTAACTAAGTCTCAGCAGGACGTTGCACGCTTTACAGGATATAATAGTTCCCGAGGTTTGTCTTAAAAGACAGAAAATTTAATGATGCCTACAAGCTACAAAGTGTTGCAGACTTAGGATGAAAGTTTCAATACAGAGTTTCTGCAACTCACATGAAAATAACCCATGCTTCCTATTTTAAGCCCATGCTTGAGCCCTGGATTTTGTCCTGATGAGTTTACTGACCCGTTGCTTACCTATCCAAGCAGAGAAGAGCTCAGCTTCAGTCAGCCACCTAAAACTGAATCCTATCTATGGTCTTCTTTCCCACCTTACTGGGAGACAGACTTCAATATCAAATGAGAGAAAGCCCTTTTAAATATCTCTGCAGTAAGATTAGGAATAGCAACTAACAGCAAGTTGTTAGGAATGTCCTTCTAACTCATCTTTCCATTATGACATATATGCTATTAAACAGCATAGTAAAATGATCCTGCCAATGGTCCCACACCTATTGCAAAAGGAACTTCTGCAGTTCTTCACAGGCAAAGAGATGAAAAAACCAAAAAGAAAAATCAAAACTAAAGTCAATAAAGAGATTCAAGTATGAAGTGTCTCACAGAGCATGTTCAATAATGTAGCCAAGGATCAAGGAAGAGCCTGGCCTGTTTCACAAATCTGGGGAACCATTTGTGCTACTTAAAAATTAAATCTCAGACATTACTGTAGCAAAACCACTTTTCTGTTTATCAGACTGAGCTTTTTTCAGTGATCAGTTCCCCTTTCTTACAGTAGGAGATACCCATTTTTTCTCTCTATAATGTTACTTCATTTGAGTTGATTGGAAAGCCTGTATCTTTCTAGAAAGTTGTGTGTGCACATAGAAGTACATGCAAATGTGTAAGCTGACAGCACCTTGAATAGTGCAACAATCAGCTGGAAATGGTCAGTAGAATTCAAACTCTTTATCAGAGTATGAATAATTTTTCTCAGGTCCTCTTTCCTTTTGCCTGCTCCTGTGTTGCTTTACACTATAGCCTTTTGTCTGAGAATGAGATACCATTTTTTAAAACTGTGTACACATACTCATTTCCATACATGCTCTCTATATGCACTTGGGTTGGGGAAAAAGCAGAGAAATAACACAACAGATTTTATTTATGGAGTTATGAGTATATACTCCTTAAAAACATGGACAAGCAATAGGGATAACCTTCCAAAAGTATGAAAAATTGGTGTGGGGCAATGACTGTCAATATGCCATATCTCATATTCTGAGCTGATGGGAAGTTGGAAAGCACAGAGAAATCAGACATAAACATATGCAAGTGCTGCTTTCCTATGAGCTTAATTATCTGTGGCCCCATGTCAATTAAGCAGCTTGTTTAACAAGCCCTCTTTAGGATTGCTGCATCTCTCAGTGCTGAATAATTATAAGCTGCACTAAACACTTCCTTGAAAGACATCTAGTGCTTTGGCAGCTGAAGTGGAGGTTCACTGTCAGCTGAAAATAATCAGTGAAACTCTCACAGTTCCAACTTCTCAGCAGATCTCCTCTGTGGAAGAAGTTCAAACTTACTCAATAGGTATTATAAATAATTCTGACAAATCTTGCAGAATTTTCTCC